TGCTGGTGACATTCCTGCAGACGGGGCGGGGGGAGGCTGATGGGGATCCCCAGGCTGCTGCTCCAGCTCGACCCAAGTCCCTGCTGATCACAGAATCATGGAATCATTAAGGTTGGAAGGGACCTTAAAGAGATCATCCAGCTCCAACCCCCCTGCCATGAGCAGGGAACCACTAGATCAGACTGCACAAAACCTCATCCAACCTGCCCTTAAAAACCTCCAGAGATGGGGCATCAACAACCTCCCTGGGCAACCCATCCCAGTTCCTCACCACCCTGAGAGTGAAGAATTTCTTCCCAATATCTCACCTCAATCTCCCCTCTCTCAGTTTAAAACCATCACCCCTTGTCCTCTCCCTCCCTGCCCTCATCCCAAGTCCCTCCCCAGCTTTCCTGGAGCCCCTTCAGGCACTGGAAGGTGCTCTAAAGTCTCCCTGGAGCCTCCTCTTCTCCAGGCTGAACACCCCAACTCTATCTCCAGAGCAGAGCTGCTCCAAACCTTGGATCATCTTGGTGGCCTCCTCTGGACCCTTCCAACAGGTCTATATCTTGTGCTGAGGGCACCAGAACTGGACCCAGTATTCCAGGTGGGGTCTGACCAGAGCAGAGGGGCAGAATCAGATGCTAAACCCCAGCAGGAACTGGTGGGTGATAAAGAGGAGAGAACAGATCTTTTCCTTGTTTGTTTGTTTTTTTTCTCCTTTTATTATTAGACTAGGAAATATAATTTATGGCATAAAAATTCATTTGTTACAAGAGGAATGCTAAACTTTTTATTTACAGTCCTTTAGTTTACAGAAGAAACAGCTGTTGGTTTTTGAGGATGCCACCAGGTCCATCCCCAGGACATATAAATATGGAAAACCAGGTTGTGTGGAGCAAAGAGACAGGACCCTGCCAGCACGACACAGACCCTGGGTCACAGAAGGAGGCACAAAGGGCTCCCAGGAGAGCTGGCACCCATGGGAGACCAGAGGAGGGGGCAAACCCTGCCTTTCCCCCCCTTTCCCACTCCCAAGGCAGGTTCCCCAGTCTGAAAAATGGGGAGAACCTCCCCCTCAACAAACACCCACCTCCAGAGCCACCAGAAGGGAGGGGAAGACCAACATGTATGGATGGGGATGGAGGCAGAGGTGCCCGTGGGTGGGACAGATGGATGGACAGGTGGGACAGACAAGGCTGGTGCAGAGTGATCCAGGAAGCAGGCACAGCAAGCCTGGCAGCAGGAGAGGTTCAGAGGAGGCCCAGAAGGACAACATCTCCTCTCACAGAGGAGAGCTGAGGAAGGAGCTCTACAAAGACCAGCAGCCCCTTTGATACCTCAATTCCTCCTTTCTTTCCACATTTCCTTGTTGTTCTCAGCACAGGGGTGGGGTTCTCAGAAAACTGGTGCTCAACTGCAGCTGAAGGACAGATCAAACCCTTCCCACACGATACAGCTCACCCAGCAGAAATCTTCCCACCCCACACAAATGAATCAAGTCTCCTTTCACCCACAGGCTTGAAAACCCAGCAAGAACTGAACCCTGGGCACCCCCAACCACGACAGGGAGAGGGGTCTGGGTGCTCAACCACTGCTTCAGGAGCTGTCAAGGGGAACCAAACCTGTGCCCAAGCAACACTGAGACTGCTCCCAAGCCAGTGGTGATGCTCTTGCTCCCAGCAGGGCTCCCTGAGTTTGCTCCAGTCCCTGGGATCCCTTGGGATGCTGCCAGCACCCCCCACAACACCAGTCCAGGGCTTGGAAGCCAAGCAGGACCTCATACATCCCAGCCCTAAGCAGGACCTGCTCTCAGCCCCTGCTCTTAACACTTTGACTCATGGAGAATTCCACAGCCTTGCCATGGGATCTAAGTCTAATCCTGAGCTTACCCTACCCTTCTTATTGTTTTTTTAAATACAATTTTCTAATACATAGCACTCACTGAGTCACTATTTCTACCTGCAATCTAAATTTTTACCCTTCATTAAGACACCCTTCATCAAGAAGGCAGGGACAAGCTCTTGTCACTTGTGCCCTGGGACAGGACGAGGGGCAATGGATTCAAACTGGAGCCCAGGAAGTTCCACCTCAACATGAGGAAGAGCTTCTTTGCTGTGAGAGTGACAGAGCCCTGGGACAGGCTGCCCAGAGAGGCTGTGGAGTCTCCTTCTCTGGAGACTTTCCCGAACTGTCTGGAGGGCTTTCTGAGTGACCTGCCCTAGTTTTTTTGGTCCTGCTCTGGCAGGGGGGTTGGACTCCATGATCTCCAGAGGTCCCTTCCAACCCCTGACATTCTGTGACTCTGTGACACCATAGCTTTATGAGAAACCTGCTTCCTGCCTACTCCTTGATGACGTTCCATTCATCCCAACAACTTCTCCATCATCACAAAAACTCTGTCCCAGGTCAAAAAACAAAGGGAGCTGTGAGGAGAGGATGGAAACCCACCCACGTTTGCCATGATGCCACCCCTGGTGTGGAAATGCTCAGCTTGAGGTCTCCCCCCTCCCTGAATCCCTGCTGAAAATACTGCACGTAAACCTGGCCACGACCACCTGGGACCTTCCCAAAGACTGAGGAGGTTTGCACGGGGCCATGGCCCAAGCTCACCAGCCCTCTGCTCTCCCTGGACCCCTCCCACAAGCTGCTCATCACCTCCCTTCCAACCCCAGGACCGGATTCTTTGGTTTGTACTGAAGTTATGTCATCCTAAAAAAATGTCCCCCAAAATGATGCTGGGGAAGAATTCATTGAAAATACCCAGACCTGGACCTACTTCCCCCCCACCTCCAAACCCTCCATGCAAGGGCAGCATCCCTCATTCCTCCCTGACCCATGGCTCCACCAGAGGGCAATGCAGCCAGGGAAAGGGGGGCAAAAAAGACGTGGGGAGGCTCTCAGCTGGCCCTGAAGCAGAGGGGCTTAGAGGCACTTCACCCTATGGACTCCCAGGGGTCCCAGGACATGTAAATACACTTTGCTTCACTTGGATCACACACTTTTCCCTACCAAAGTGTGTTCATTGCAACCTCCCTCTCTCTCTGCCACCTCCCTCCCAGCAACCTTCTTGCTCTCAACACACACACACACACACACAAACAAAAAAGGTTTATAAATCTGAGTTTGTTTTTCTTTTTCCCTTTTTTTTTTTTTTTAAAAAAAAGGACTCATCCAAAAATCTGGATAATAAATTAGTTGCGTTTCCTAAGAAACTCTCTTTTTTTTTTTTTTTTTTCCTTTTTTTTTTCCTTTCTTATTTGCCTTATGAAGCTGCCTGAAGCTCTGGACAGAAAGAAGCTGCTCGCCTGGATCGTCCTCGTCTCCTCCACCCAGAAATGCTCTTCAAAGAAGGAGGAGAACCAGAGGGGAACCCAAATAAAGAAGGAAAGCCCCCCCCCCATCCCAACTTGAGAAGCCCTAAAATTCCTCCCCAGGCCTGCTGTCAGCTGCCACCCAAGGAGGAGGAGGAGGAGGAGGAGGAGGAGGAGGAGGAAAAGGAACGCTGTGTTAACACTTCAGTTGCTTGTAAACTCTGAGGATGGGTCTCCAAGGCTTGACAGCGAGGGAAGAGCCACGGGCTCATCCCTTTCTTTGCTGCCCTGGGATGGATGTGCCTCCACCCACCATGGGGGAAGGATTCCTCCCCCTTCACCCCTTCTTTTGTCCTCCTGGCCCACCAGCCAGCATCATCAGCAGTCCCCCTCTGTGGCCATGACCACCAGCATCTCGCTCTTGCCCATCTCCTCTAAGGCACTGGCCAGGGTGTTGAGGTCACCATCGTCTTGATGCTCGGCTTCCCATAAGTCCAGGAGCACCCCAGTGGGGCTGGCTTTGGTGGCAAAGTAGTTCAGATACCTGCAAAGGGGAAGGAGAGAGGAGGTGCAGGTTGGCACGGCAGCCTTTGGGGATGGAGGAGGCTGGAGCAGCAAACCTGAACCCTGATGGAAAGGCCACCAAGGCAAACGCCAAAGCCCTCGGGACATCCTCTTCCATTTTTGAGGCAGGGATTCATGTAAGAAGCAAGGCAAGCTTTGCCTGGCTGGAATTATCATCCCTTCCTTCGGTCCTCAGAGGTGAAGCCAGGTAGGAACAGCTCCCTTGGTCCCAAATAAAGAAGGGCCACTTCAAAGTGACAAGAGACCCCGGACGGTGGCACAGATGGGCAGAACTACATCTAGCTATATCCATAATTTCTAGGTGGACCTCTATAGAACCACAGAATGGGCTGGGTTGGAAGGGACCTGAAGGATCACCGAGTCCCAGCCCACATGCCATGGACTGGTGATAACCTAGCTGGGTGCCTGCACTAGGGAGGAAGTGGAGCAAAGCTCCCCCCAGAAGAGAGGAAACCAAAGCAGAGCGAGACCCACCGGTCCATGGAAAGCTTCTGGGCCAGAAGTCTCCAGTCGTTGCCCCTGGAACTGGGGGCATCCAGGCTGTTGCAGATCTTCTGCCGTATGGAGAGGGGGATTTTGAAGGCGTAGGGTCCTAGCTGGGTGGTGGTGGTGGTGATGGTACCACTCTGGTGGGAGCGGAGGGTGTCGAAGGAGCCGGCGTGCTGCGAGGTGAGGGATGGGGAGAGATGTTGCAGCACAGAGCGGCCCCCAAGAACATCCCCTTTGCTGTCCCCCCCCACCCGCTACCCCCCACCACCACTCACCTCTCCCAGCGTGACGTGGAGCTGGAAGATCTGGCCTTCCCCTTCCACCTGCCTGACGCAGATCTTGCAGGTGAGCTCGGAGGAGGCCTGGCTGTACCTCTCCAGGGTGAAGGTGCAGTGCAGGGCTCGCTGGCTGCCGCTCCCCCCACAGATACCAGCCAACCAAGAAAGAGCATGTGCAAACCAGTGCTCCTTCCTCCTCCATCCCTTTGGGAGACAAAGGTGCTCGCAAGCCTTGGCTGAAGATGGTGTCCCCAGCCTGGGGCTCTGACTGTCCCCACAGCTCAGCCCCTCACCTGGTACTTGGCCAGCAGCTTGCTCCTCCACAGTGCATGGGGGATGTCGTGGATGGAGAGACGCAGGTTGTGGTAGCTGTCCTTGAAGGGCAGGGGCTTGGGCTCCTCCAGCAGGTACCCGCCCAGCGTCCGCTCCAGCTCCAGCACCTCCTGCAGGGCAGCAGGACAGGCCGTGGGAGACCCAGGAGATGAGCAGGGGCTGCTCCTCTCCCTTCTCCATACCCAAATCCAGGTACTTTCCTGCCGCCAGGAGCCAGCAGGAGCAACAAGGATGCGGGGAGCCCTCCCCAGAAGAGCAGCCTTTGCCACCCTGACAGCTGTTCTCCAAGAACTTGCCCACTCATCCCACACAGCAGCCCAACCTACAACTTGAAGGACACAGAAGCAGCTCTTGGGAGGGAACTGGAAGCCAGGAGCAGAAGTGCTGCCTACATCTCCACCTAGAGGCACCACAGCCATCCTGAACCTCAGCAAAAGGCACAGGGAATTAAAACAGCACCGGTGGGCCAGGCAAACCAAAGCATCAAAACATAAGGTTCCCGTGCTCTCCTCCATGCTATCAATGCCACAAACCCTCCCAAGGAGTGAAGAGACAAATCTCCATGCAAGAGTAAAAGGATCTGCAAAAGCCCAAGGCAGATGACAGCAACTTTTTCTGCGTAGAGAGAAGAAACCCACCCAACAGCCAACAAAACCTCTGTGTCACACCTCCAGAAAGGGGGCTCAGCTCAGGAGCTGAGCAACACCCTCATTATTTCCCTCAAGTGGGTGAAGGAAGACAGGGAAAGCAGTAAACACACCGATGAGTTCACCGCTGTGGTCACTTTGCAGGCAGTTGCATCAGGTTGTCTGCTCCCCTCTCGGGGCCAGGCCACCCGGAGAGGAGGCACCAACCAGCGTCTCACTGCCAGCTCAAACAGCCTCCCCTCTGCCCATGGCAAGGGGCTTGGAACCAGATCATCTCTAAGGTCCCTTCCAACCCCAAGGCACTCCAGGATTCTATGGAGCAGGGGCAGCCCATGCCAGCCAACTTACCTTCAGAGCATCTGGCGTGTCCTCCAGGCAGTAGACCTTGAGGCTGTACTCCAGGGAGGTGCAGACAGTGGGGGCAAAGATGGCCAGCTGGAGCCTCTTGATGGCTGACCTGGAGTAGGACTCGCCCACGAAGACGTAGGTGCCAAGCTGGTCCAGCAAAACGTGGCAGGACTTGGCTTCCAGCTGGCAGTAGCAGGGAGTGTTGAGGGTCTCCTCATCCAGGGTCACAACTTCCTACAGGGAATCAAGGCTGAGGGTCAACCCATCATCCAGGCAGGGGTTGCTAGGGGCTGTAGCCCCACAACACCTTGAAGAGTCTTCTCTGGCTTGCAGGGGCTGGGGTTCCCACCTTACCTCCCAGTTTCCTTGGTGGGACTGTGTTTTCAGCTGGTAGATCCAATCTGAGGAGCTGACGTCAGCACAGTGGGGAAGGGTCAGGACCACGGGGCGGCAGAGGAGCAAGCCGGTGGGGCCACAGGTGACTGCTGGGCTCAGCACTGTCTGCGTGCCCTCAGAGGGCAGGCTGGGCAAGGGGAGAGGGGACACGGGTTGGGAAGGA